CCGTACCCACCTGGGTGTGTCCCCATGCCCACCTGAAGCCATCTGTGCCCACCTGGGTGTGCCATGCCCCCCCGGCCGTGCCCCCTGCCCCCCCAGTCGTGTCCCCGTTGCCCCCCGGCCGTGTCCCCGCGCCCCCCGGCCGTGTCCCCGTTGCCCCCCGCTCACCTGGAAGGCGCGGCGGGCGCGGGCGTCGTGCGCGTCCCCGCGGTGCCAGGGCCGCCGGGGCTCGGGGAAGCGCTGGCCCTGCAGGCTGGCCCCGAGCGGGTCGATGTAGAAGAAGGCGAAGTCGCCCCCCGTGAGCCCCTCGCGCTCCGCCTGCAGCAGCAGCTCCCGCAGCGTGTCCGGGGCGCAGCACACGTACACGACTGGGGGGACACGGCCCTTGGAGCGGGACCCCCGAGACCCCCAACACCTCTGGGAGACCCCGGCCCCGCGCCCCGGGGATCCGTGGTTACTGTGAGACCCCCCGAGACCCGGGCCCCACGCCTCAGGGTCCCTGGTTACTGTGAGACCCCCCGAGACCCCATCCCTGTGCCCCAGGGTCCCTGGTTGCTGTGTGACACAGCCCTGAGACCCCCATCACCTCTGGGAGACCCCAGCCCTGCATCGTGAGGGTCTCTGGTTATTGTGTGACATGGACCTGAGCCCCCTAAAACCTCTGGGAGACCCCAGCCCCATGTCTTGGGGGGTCCCTGGTTGCTGTGTGACATGGACCTGAGACCCCCCAACACCCCTGCAGACCCCAGCCCCATGCCCTGGGGTCCCTGGTTGCTGTGTAATATGGGCCCAAGACCCCCTGAGACCCCAACCCCACATAGTGGGGGTCCCTGGTTGTTGTGTGACATGGACCTGAGCCCCCTAAAACCTCTGGGAGACCCCAGCCCCATGTATTGGAGGGGTCCTTGGTTGTTGTGTGACACGGACCCGAGACCCCCAACACCCCTGGAGACCCCTGCAGACCCCAGCCCCGCATCCCGGGTCCCCCCGGCCGTTGCCTGACACGGGAAGGGGTGGCGGTGCCCCCGGGGCGGGGGTCCCGAGCCCGCTGCCGGCCCCCCCGTGCCCTGCCCGGCGCTGCCCTCGGCGCCAGGCCGAGGTTTCCTGTTTTCCCGACTCCGTTTCCTCCTCCCCGCGGCCCTGATGGATTCCCGGCGACACCGTGACCCCGGGGGTGCCGCCTGGGCTGGCCGCGGCCCCCCCAGCCGTGCCCACCCCCGCGGCTGAGCACCCACCGCCCGTCCCCGGTGCCCCCCGGGCTGGAGCAGGGCCAGGGACGGGGCAGAGCCGGCCCGGGACACCGGGACAGGTGACAACACCCGGAGAGCTCCGGGGACACGGGGTGGGGAGGGGTCCAGGGGGTCCCGAGGGGCAGCGTGGGGGGGTGTGGGACACGCGTGTGCGGCGGTGACAGCCGTGGCTGCCAGGGACAGCCAGGGACAGGCATGGACAGGCATGAACAACTGTGAACAACCAGAAAGAACCATGGACAACTGTGAACAGCTGTGAACAACCATGAACAGCCATGAACAACTGTGAACAACCAGAAAGAACCATGGACAACTGTGAACAGCTGTGAACAACCATGAACAGCCATGAACAACTGTGAACAACCAGAAACAATCATGAACAACCATAAACAACTGTGAACAGCTGTCAACAGCCATAAACAACCAGAAACAACCATGAAAAGCCATGAACAGCCATAAACAACTGTGAACAACCATGAACAACTGTGAACAACTGTGTACAGGCGTGAACAACTGTGAACAACTGTAAACAACCATGAACAACCACAGACAGGCATGAACAACCATGGACAACCATGAACAGCCATGAACAACTGTGAACAACCATAAACAATTGTGAACTGCCATGAACAACTGTAAACAACTGTGAACAACCACAAACAACCATGAACAGCCATGAACACCTGTGAACAACCATAAACTACCATGAACAAGCATGAACAACTGTGAACAGCCATGAACAACCATGTGCTGCCATGAACAACCTCACACAGCCATGAACAGCCATGAACAAGCATGAACAAGCATGAACAACTGTGCACAGCCATGAACAGCCATGAACACGCATGAACAACCGTGCACAGCCATGAACAACCGTGAACAGCTGTGTGCAGATGTGTACAGCTGTGACACCTGTGCACAGCCGTGTACAGCCGTGTACAACCATGTGCTGCCATGAACAACCTCACACAGCTGTGTGCGGATGTGTACAGCCATGTACAACCTCACACAGCCGTGAACAGCCATGTACAACCATGTGCTGCCATGAACAACCTCACAGAGCCGTGAACAACCTCACACAGCTGTGAACAACCTCACACAGCCGTGAACAGCCATGTACAACCATGTGCTGCCATGAACAACCTCACAGAGCCGTGAACAACCTCACACAGCCGTGTACAGCCGTGTACAACCATGTGCTGCCATGAACAACCTCACACAGCCATGAACAACCTCACACAGCCACCAACAGCCGCGCACAGCTGTGTGCAGGTGTGAACACCCACGAAAGCCCCGTGCACAGCTCTGCACGGCCCCGTCTGCCCACGGGAGCCTCGGCACGGCCGTGAATCAGCACGAGAGCCCCGCGTGAAGCCGTGCACAGCTGGGCACAGCTGGGCACAGCTGCAAACACCCCCGTGCAGCCGTGCCCGGCCGCCTCTGCCACCTGTGCACACCCGTGGAACCCCCCAAGGACCGGGCACGGCTGGGCACAGCCCGCGGCCGGCTGTGAACACCCCTGTAAAGTTGGGCACAGCCATGTATGGCCATGAACACCCGGGCACAGGCGTGCCAAGACTGGCACAGCCACGGGCACCGGCGTGGGGCTGGGCACTCCCCCGTGGGGCTGGGCATTCCGTGTGGGGCTGGGCACTTCTGTGTGGGGCTGGGCACTCCTATATGGGGCTGGACACTCCCCAGTGGGGCTGGGCACTCCTATAAGGAGCCAGGCAATCCTATATGGGGCCGTGCACTCCTGTATGGGGCCGAGAACTCCTATATGGGGCTGGGCACTCCTATATGGGGCTGGACACTCCCCAGTGGGGCTGGGCACTCCTATAAGGAGCCAGGCACTCCTATATGGGGCCGTGCACTCCCACATAGGGCCGTGCATTCCCATACGGGGCCGTACACACCCCAGTGGGGCCGTGCACCGCCCTGTCCCCGTCCCCCCGCCCCGCTGTCCCCCTCCCGGGCACTCACTGCGCCCCTTGGCCTTGATCTCCTGGATGATGAAGGAGAAGTTGCCGCCGTCGCGGAACACCACGTCCATGACCGTGAGGTTGCGCAGGGTGGGCAGCTGGACGTACAAACCCTCGGCGGCGAAGTAATAGGGCCGGTCGTCCACCCGCTCGTCCCAGTACACCAGCAGCGCCCGCCGCGTCCAGTTGAAGCGCCGGTGCAGCTGCACGCCCAGTTCGCCCAGTTTGCGGTGGCTGGGGCCGGCTCGGGTGGTCAAGCCGAACTCCTCGCTCTTGTCGTCGAAGCCGTGAGCTTCGGCCCCCGCCGTGACCAGCGGCAGCTGCCAGTGGCTGGTGAAGCGAGCCACCGGAGCCGCCGAGTAGACGCACCCCGGCCCCAAAAACGCCGCGGGGTGATGGGCGAGCCGCAGGTCCACGGCCACCAGCGGCGCGGCCATTTCGGAGCAAACCCCGTGGCGGTCCTCGCTGTCGCCGAACACCCAGCCCAGGGTGAAGCCGGGCAGCAGATCCCGCCGGGAATTGACGGCGGCCGCGGCCAAGCGCACGGCGGGACCCACGCGCGGCCAAGCCCACGGGTAGGTGAGGTTGCGCCGGGGCAGCACCACGGCGAGGGTCAGCGGGGCCGGGGCCGTCCCCGCGGCCGGGAGCAGGGCCAGCAGCGGGGCCAGGAGCGGGGCCAGGAGCGGGGCCAGCACCGCCAGCATCGCCCACGGACGGAGAGTGGCTTCACCCCCCCTCGCCACCCCGCCCGGCCCGCGGCGGGGCTGAGCCCTTGCTCGCCCCCCCCACTGGTGACACAAAGGGCCGTTATCATCCACACCGAGCTTAACTCCTTCCTGCCCGCTGCCCCCACCTCCCACGGCATTCCAGCCGGGATGGGCGGCGGATGGGGCCGCCCGCCGGTGGGTGGGGACATTCCCACCCGTGGGATCTGTCCCCGCTCCGGTGTCGCCACCGCCCGGGTGCCGCTGCTGACCCGGTCACGCGTGGGGCGCTGAGACACGAGGAACTCGTTTGGGTGCAGGGACATCGCGACCCACGGAGCCCACGCTGTCGCCACGCAGCTCCGGAGCCTTCGCGCGGTCCTGGGGGACCCGGGGGGGCTCGGACACCTCTGGTCCCCCTCCTCCGTGGGGGGTTCTGCCCCGCGGAGGGGTCAGGGCAGGGGGGGTGACCCCGGAGGTGCCACTCGTGGGCTGCGCGGCTGCCGGGGATACTGGCAGCGCTCGGGGGACACGGGCAGAGGTTGGGGACACACACGGGGGACGCACTTGGTTGCGGGGACGCGCGCAATGGTCCGGCCGCGGCGCACCCGCAACTCCCGGGGACGCGGGTGGACGCGGGTGGGGTGACACCCGTGACACCGGTAACCCCACGCTGCTGCCGGCTCGCGGCGCGAGACAAGCCTGGGCGAGCATCAGGGAAGCATCAAGAAGCTCACGTAGCGAATAAAAAACGTTTAACGAGCAAAGCAAACCGCGCGTGGGGGAAAAAAAAAAGACACCAAAAGTTCTGCTAGCAGAGGATGGTTTCGATCCATCGACCTCTGGGTTATGGGCCCAGCACGCTCCCGCTGCGCCACTCTGCTGCTGGTTGGACGAGCGGGCCGGGCGCCTTATGGGCGCGGCGCGCGCGCTCCATTCATGGGCTCCGCGCCCCCTCCAGCGGCCGCCCGGCGCGCGCCGCCATTGGCCGCTTCCCTCTCTGATTGACGCGCCGCTTCACCAATGGTTGTTGGGGGAGCGACCGCGATGGGCGGGCTGGGGGGGAGCGGCGGCCAATGAGCGGGCGGGTTGCTGCGGGGTCTGCGAGCGGCGCTTCATTGTCGGGAGCGGCGGCGACATGAGGTGGGGACGGCGGGACCGGGGGGACACCGGCACCGGGGGGACACCGAGACCGGGACCTTGGCGGGAGCGACCGGGGGGACACCGGCACCGAGGGGATACCGGGATGAGGGGAGGAAGGGGGGAAGTGGAGGGAGAACCGGGCCTGGGGGGACCACGGGGTCCGGCCCCGGGACACACCGGGAGTGGGGACCGCGGGACCGGGGAGACACCTGGAGCGGGCGGGGAACGGGAAGGGAGCGGCGGGAGCGGGGAGAACCAAGGGGAACCGGGGGTGGGGGAGGCCAGCACCGAAACCGGGGATGGGGGGACCCCGAGAGGCACCGGGGGGGCAGGATCGGGGTCCGGGGGTCGGAGCCCCCCGTCACCGCCGCTCCCGTTCTCTCCCCGCAGGGGCGATCGAGGCCGCGGCCGCGGCGGCCGCTTCGGTTCCAGGCGAGTCCCGGGGCCGGTCCGGTGCTGCTGCAGGCCCGGGCCGGTCCCTGCATGTCGCGACAGGGGCGGGAGGGGGCTCTGCGGGCCCAGGGAGTGAATTGGGGTTTTCTGTCCCCTGTAGGTTCCGGCCCTTTGTGCCCCACATCCCCTTCGATTTCTATGTGGTGAGTAACCCCCGCCCCGAGGGCGATTCCCGGGAATTTTCCGGGATTTTTCCAGGGTTAACGATGCCCCCCAGCTCTGATTTGCGGGGTTTGGGTTCTCGTGGTGTGGCTGAATTGAATGAATTCCCTAAAAAACCCACGCTAGAGGGTAAACGGGATAATGGGATCCAGGCGAGGAATAATGGCACAAATCGCTCCGGGATTGGGGTTTTTGGGATTGGGGTTTTTGGGATTGGGACCGGTAAATCCCTGGAGTGAGGTTTGTGTCTCTCCTCAGGGTGATGCCCCTACTTCCCTCAGGTGTTTCATGTACCCGTTTCCCACCTTTCCCAGCAGGAAATCCCCCTTTCCCAAATTCCCTGTGGACAGGTCACCCCAAGGCCCCGTGGCTGCAGACAACGGGGGATTAATGAGTTCATTTAAAAAATTCTTTAATAAACTTCATCAAACCCTCTGGAGGTGGGAGCTGCTGGACGCCCGTGCAGCTCCTGGAGGCTGGCAGGATGAAATCCCAGTGGGAATTGTGTCCCCTTCCAGTGTGAGATGGCTTTTCCCCGCGTCAAGCCCGCGGCAGATGAGACGGCCTTCAGCGAGGCGCTGCTCAAGAGGAACCAGGACCTGGCTCCCACCGCTGCCGAGCAGGTGCCGTGCCCAAAATTCCCCCAGATCCTCAAGATGGGGCTTGGGGAATCCAAAATTTTTCAGGAGAGGTGGAAAAATTAGTTAGTTCTCTGGAATAAGCGCCGTGGGGGGGATGCGTGGGGAATAATGTGGATTCTGTGCTCTGCAGTGGGGTCATTCCTGGGTGATCCCATTCCTTCCCAGGCTTCCATCCTGTCCCTGGTGACCAAGATCAACAATGTCATCGATAATTTGATCGTGGCACCGGGGACGTTCGAGGTGGTGAGTGCAGAGCTTGGGAAAAGAGCTCCGTGGGGAGGTGCTGGGACTGGAAAATGGGAGGATGCTCCTGGCCAGGGTGGGTTAAGGCTCGATGGTGAGCCCCCAAATGCGGCATGTGGGTTGAATTCCTGGGATTTTGGGTTGTTTTTCTGCCAGCAAATTGAGGAGGTTCACCAGGTGGGCTCCTACAAGAAGCCAGAGTGGGTAAAGGCTCAGTGCTGAACCCCCAAATGCGGCATGTGGGTTGAATTCCTGGGATTTTGGGTTGTTTTTCTGCCAGCAAATTGAGGAGGTTCACCAGGTGGGCTCCTACAAGAAGCCAGAGTGGGTTAAGACTCAATGCTGAGCCCCTAAACGCAGCATGTGGGTTGAATTCCTGGGATTTTGGGTTGTTTTTCCACCAGCAAATCGAGGAGGTTCGCCAGGTGGGCTCCTACAAGAAGGGGACGATGACGACGGGGCACAACGTGGCGGATCTGGTGGTGATCCTGAAGATCCTGCCCACCTGTGAGTGCCACCCGGGCGGGATCACAGCAACCCTCGGTGCCAGGCCCCGCTCCGACCCTTCTCCTCCTCCTTTTCCTTCTCCTTTTTCCCAGTGGAAGCCGTGGCAGCCTTGGGGAACAAGGTGGTGGAGAGCCTGCGGGCGCAGGACCCCAGCGAAGGTGAGGCCGCGCTCCAGGCCGCGTTCCCGTGGAGATTCCCGGCCCCTCCGGGCGCAATTCCCGCTCTTTCCTTGCAGTCCTGACCATGCTGACCAACGAGACCGGCTTCGAGATCAGCTCGGCCGACGCCACGGTGAAGATCCTGATCACCACGGTGCCGCCCAACCTGCGCAAGCTGGACCCGGAGCTGCACCGTGAGCGCCCGGCCGCGCCTCCCGCCCGGAGCCTCCGCGGTGCCCGCGGCCGCCTGGGAAAACCGGGAATTTCTGCTTCTTGCAGTGGACATCAAGGTGCTGCAGAGCGCCCTGGCCGCCATCCGGCACGCGCGGTGGTTCGAGGAGAACGCCTCGCAGTCCACGTGAGTCCGGGGCCCGCGGAGCCAGGGCTGGGTCCAGATCCTCCTTCTGGATCCAGATCCTTGTTCTGGATCCAGATCCAGCTCCTGGATCCAAATCCTCCTAGGTCCAGATTCTCATTCTGGATCCTAATCCTTGTTCTGGATCCAAATCCTCCTTCTGAGTCCAGATCCTCATTTTGGATTCAAATCCTTGTTTTGGATCCAAATCCATCTGGGTCCAGATCCTCCTTCTGGATCCAGATGCTCATTCTGGATCCAAATCCTCCTCCTGGGTCGAGATCCTCATTCTGGATCCAGATCCTCCTCCTGGGTCCAGATTCTCATTCTGGGTATAGATCCTCTTCCTGGATCCAGATCCTCATTCTCAAACCAGATCCTCCTTTTGGATCCTAATCCTCCTTCTGGGTCTAGATCTTCCTTCTGGATCCCGATCCTCCTTCTGGATCCAGATCCTCATTCCCGAGAACACGGAGCACAGTCCCGGTGTGGGACTGAGCCTCCTCCTGCCTCTGCTCCAGGGTGAAGGTCCTGATCCGGCTGCTCAAGGACCTGAGGATTCGCTTCCCCGGCTTCGAGCCGCTCACGCCCTGGATCCTGGACCTGCTGGTGGGGTCACCGATGTGGTGCTGATCCTGATCCCGGCAGGAGCTGGGATTCTTGCCCCAGGCTGGGATTCTTCTGTTCTTCCTGCCCTAATTCCTGCTCCTTTCCTCTCCAGGGGCACTACGCCGTGATGAACAATCCCACCCGGCAGCCCCTGGCCCTCAACATCGCCTACAGGTCCGTGGCATTCCCATTGCAGAAATTCCCGTTGCGGCTCTGTTTTCCTGGCAAAACCATTGGAATCTCATGGGCTGACTGGGAGATAAATCCAGCTCCTCCAGCTGGGATTTCCTGGTGGTGTTTTTGCTGGAAGGATCCAGTTTTAACCCAGAATGTCTCTGTGCAGGCGCTGCCTCCAGATCCTGGCGGCCGGGCTCTTCCTGCCCGGCTCCGTCGGCATCACGGATCCGTGCGAGAGCGGCAACTTCCGCGTGCACACGGTGATGACGCTGGAGCAGCAGGTGAGGAGGGGTCCCCGAAGGCCAGGGGGCTCAGGGGGCGTCCCTGTCCCCACACTGACCCGTCCCTGTCCCCAGGACATGGTGTGCTACACCGCCCAGACCCTCGTGCGCATCCTGTCCCACGGAGGGTACCGGAAAATCCTGGGACAGGAGGGTGACGCCAGCTGTGAGTGGGGCTGGGGGGTGTCCGGGTGGGGACGGGGCTGGGGTCTCCCCGAGCGGGCGCCCAGGGTCACCTCTTGGGGCAGACCTGGCCTCCGAGATGTCCACGTGGGACGGGGTGATCGTGACGCCGTCGGAGAAGGCGTACGAGAAACCTCCGGAGAAGAAGGAAGGGGAGGAGGAGGAGGAGAACCAGGAGGAGCCGGCGGCGGGCGAGGAGGAGGAGAGCATGGAGACGCAGGAGTGACACCTGCGCTGCCTGCAGCAGGTGAGGGGACACCGGCCTGGGGGTCCCTGCTCTGCCACCTGACGTGTCCCTGTCCCCTGTCCCTGTTTTGTACGTTGCACATTAAAGTGTCCCCCCTTTCCAGCGTGTCCTGCTTGCTCAGGTCCATGTGGGATGGATGGGAATGAGGCAGCTGGGGCAGCAGCAGAAGGATCCAAGATTTGAAGGAGCCACCTGGGGCTGCCCACACCCCACTTGAGGCAGCCCAAATCCCACCTGGGCCTCCCAAATTCCACCTGGGGGTGTCCAAATCCAACCTGGAGGTGCCCAGACCCCCCCTGCCAGCACCTGCCCGGCTCTGTTGTCCCCAAGGCCCCTCAGGGACGTGGGAACATCACGGACTCTCAGTCACTTTTATTCCAGCGGCCACAAATCTGGGAACACGGCTCGGAGTGTCCCGGGTCCCTCAGCTGCAGGTGATGGGGGACATCCCCTCAATTCCTGAGCTGGGATAAACAGGGATGCCTGCTCCCCTGGCTGGTCACCTGCTCTCCTGGCTGGTCACTTGCCCTGGTAGCCCCCGGCCTCCAGCATGGCTCTCCTCCGCACCGTCTCCTTGGCCACGCTGTGGTTCAGCCTCCGCAGCCGCTCCTGCACACGGCAAAAGTCACCTGTGAGCAGCTGAGGGGGGCTCCGGGACCCCCACCCCGCTGCGCCCCCTCACCTGGGCGTTCTGCAGGATGTTGTTGACCAGCACCACGCGGCGCCGGGCGTTCAGCAGCTTCTTCACGTAGGGGTCGAGGTCCAGCGCCACTTTCTGGTCCTCGTTGATGCGGCAAAGCTCTGGGGAGGGGTTTGGGTGAGCCCCCTGTGCCCTGACGCTGAGGGGGACAGGGGTGGCCCCCCGGCTTTGGCTCACCTGTGGCCAGGCTGTCGATGTGCTCCCGCAGCTCCACCTGGCTCTCCCTGTGCAAGGGGGACAGGTGAGACCCCGGATCCACGCCCCAAATCCGCCTCTGTGCCCCCAGTATGGGACCTGCATGCTCAGAACCCCCGGCCACCAACCCCAAGAACTGCCCACCTCACGTACCCCCAAAGCCCTTCAGCCCCAAAATTCACCCTCATGCACCCCCAAAGCCCTTCAGCCCCAAAATTCACCCTCATGAACCCCCAAATCCCTTCAGCCCCAAAATTCACCCTCATGCACCCCCAAAGCCCTTCAGCCCCAAAATTCACCCTCATGCACCCCCAAAGCCCTTCAGCCCCAAAATTCACCCTCATGCACCCCCAAAGCCCTTCAGCCCCAAAATTCACCCTCATGCACCCCCAAAGCCCTTCAGCCCCAAAATTCACCCTCATGCACCCCCAAAGCCCTTCAGCCCCAAAATTCACCCTCATGCACCCCCAAAGCCCTTCAGCCCCAAAATTCACCCTCATGCACCCCCAAAGCCCTTCAGCCCCAAAATTCACCCTCATGCACCCCCAAAGCCCTTCAGCCCCAAAATTCACCCTCATGCACCCCCAAAGCCCTTCAGCCCCAAAATTCACCCTCATGCACCCCCAAAGCCCTTCAGCCCCAAAATTCACCCTCATGCACCCCCAAAGCCCTTCAGCCCCAAAATTCACCCTCATGCACCCCCAAAGCCCTTCAGCCCCAAAATTCACCCTCATGCACCCCCAAAGCCCTTCAGCCCAACCCCCAAATCCCTTCAGCCCCAAAATTCACCCTCATGCACCCCCAAAGCCCTTCAGCCCCAAAATTCCCCCTCACGCACCCCCAAAATTCACTCTCACGTACCCCCAAAGCTCTTCCGCCCCAAAATTCACCCTCACGTACCCCCAAAATTCTCTCATGTACCCCAAAAGCCCTTCAGCCCCAAAATTCACCCTCACGTCCCCCCAAAATTCCCTCATGTACCCCAAAAGCCCTTCAGCCCCAAAATTCACCCTCATGCACCCCCAAAGCCCTTCAGCCCCAAAATTCACCTTAATGCACCCCCAAAGTTCTTCAGCCCCAAAATTCACCCTCACACACCCCAAAGCCCTTCAGCCCCAAAATTCACCCTCACGCACCCCCAAAATTCACTCTCACGTACCCCCAAAGCTCTTCAGCCCCAAAATTCACCCTCACGTACCCCCAAAATTCACTCATGTACCCCAAAAGCCCTTCAGCCCCAAAATTCACCCTCACGTACTCTCAAAAGCCCTTCACCCCCAAAATTCACCCTCACGAACCCCCAAAGCCCTTCAGCCCCACAGAACAGCCCTCCCCGGCTCTACCTGCCCCTCAGCCTTGCAGCCCCGGCCCGCCGCGCCCCGCCCCGCTCCCGGCCCGTCCTGTCCCGCTGCCTGCCGCTCTCCGCGGCCGCTCTCCGTGCCCGGACCTGACGCTGTGGACGTGGCGGTCGAGCTGTCGCACGGCGGGCCGCAGGAACTGCAGGAGCCCCTCAGCAAAGAGCTCCCGCGCCCCGGGGCCGCTCCCTGCCGCCATCTTGGCCACGGGCGCCGCGGGGGCTGCTGGGAAACCGAGTCCGCGGGGAGAGGAGGGGCCGCTTCCGGTACGCGCCGCGGGGGCTGGTGGGAAATGTAGTCCCAAGGGACTTGAGCACAGCTGGAAGCACATCTGGAAACGCATCTGGAGGCGCATCTGGCGGCACACCTGCACTGCTGAGCATCCGTCACAGGCCACAGATTCCAACCCCATCCATTAAACAATGGTTTAAACAATGTGGTGTTGGTCCTTCCACCTTGTTTTTGGTATCGGGGTTCGTTGTTACTTGTCTCTTCGGCTTTTAAAATTCTTTTTTTTTTTTTGGTTTATTTTCATACAAAAGTTCAAGCAGGAGGTGGAAATCAGCACCGAGGGCCGCACTACACCCAGGCCACAAGCCCTGACCCAATCCATTAAACAACTGTTAAACCAACACATTTTTGGCCACATTTTTTTGCCTTTTTTCCCCTCTTTTTTTGTTTTTTTTTTTGGCTGCCCCTTCCAGGAGTCAGGCGTGGGCGTCGGGCAGGGCGTGCAGGACGTGGTCCAGCAGCTGCAGGGCGCGGTGCAGGTGCACCTCGATCCAGCAGGGCGTGCAGGTGATGCTGGCCCGGGGGTAGTCGGGCCCCCAGCCCTTAACGAAGCTCAGCCTAACGAGGCACAGGCGCCGCAGGTCGTCCACGCCGAGCCCCGCGGCCACCGACAGCCCTGGGAGGGGGTGACACGGTCAGCACGGGGGGGTGGGACAGCCCCGCGGCGTCCTGTCGCCGCTGCGGTCACTCACCGATGGCCGGGGCGATGCCGCCCACCGAGCCGGGCCCCGGGATGCTGCCGGCCACCGCGGCGGCCTGGGCGGTGGCCGCAGCCTGGGCGGTGGCCGCCTGCTGCTGCATCTGCCGGTGGCACTGCCGCAGGTCAAACACCTGGGGGGACACGGGGGGACCCCTGAGCAGGGCGGCTTTGGGGTGGGGGGATCACCTTTGGGGCTCCTTCCATCCCTGGGGTCCTGCCACGCTGCCTAGAACCTCCAAAAATCCGGGCACAGAACCCACCCCCCCCACCCCAGGTTCTGGGGACCCCCGGGGAGCCCTGGGGACCCCCGAGGACCCCGACCTTGATGTGTGCTCCGGGGTACACCTTGTGCACGGCGTCGCCGGGGGCTCTGCCCGCCTCCCTGTCCAGGTAGAAGCTCTGCACGAACACGGCGTGGTCGCTGCGGCAGCGCATCCACACGTCGCCCTCGCCTCGCCGCTCCAGCTGCACGCCCTTGCCGATGTGCAGCCTGGGGGAGAGCCTCAGCACGGACCCCCAGAGCCCCCCAGAGCCCCCCAGAGCCCCCAGTTCAGCCCTGGGGGGCAGCTGGGGCTCTCCTGGCTGTCCCTTACCCACAGCACGTTGTTGTTGACCGAGGGGCTGGGCCCAAAGCTGCTGTTGTCCAGCTCTGGGGACTCCGTGCTGCTGCCAGGGTCCTCAAAATCCAGCAAGTTCCCCAAGGCTGCTGCTGTGGGCAGAGCAGAGGGGGCCCCCCCTCACCCCCCGTGCCCCCCGACCCCCCGTGCCCTCTCGCTGGCGGCGCAGCGCTGCACGTTGGAGAGCTGCCCCAGGCAGAAGCGGGCCCCCCCCGAGGGGTCCACGTAGCCGTCCACCACCACGGTGGGGCAGCTCGAGGGCACCTTGAAGATCTCCCCCACCTGCACGTCCTGCTCGAAGTAGGCGATGGAGCACCAGAACTCCGGCCCTGCATGGGGGGGCACGTGGATTTTAGGGGGGTCACGGCACCCCACGGGTGCTAAGGAGGGTGGGGGGCACTCACCAGGGTGGGTGGACACGGGGGGCTGGAGCACGGGGGGCCCTGCGAGGGGCAGAGAGGGGGTCAGCACACTGAAGACCCCCCCAGCCCTTGCCCCGTGCCCCCCAAACCTACAGCAGTGGTTGGGGTGGTGCTGGGGGGGCTGTGGATGGCTCTGGCTACCGGGGTGTTGTGGTGGGGGGGGCTGTGACCCCCCCAAACTCGGGGTGTAGATGGTGGCACTGCTCCAGCTCAGCGGTGAACCTGCAGGGGGACACAGGGGGACATAAGGAGGGTCCCCCCAAGGGGGTCTGGGGGGGCAGTGGGGTACCCCCATACTCACTGTGGTGGGGTGGTTTGGGGTACCCGTTCTGCGGGGGGGGCTGTGCCGGGGGGCCCTCGGGGTGGAGCAGGGGGTCCTGGGGGGTCTCCATCTGCACACAGTCATGGACAAACTCCTCCTTCACCGGGCGCGGGGGGGGCACTGGGGAGGGCGGGAGACCATGGGGGGCACGGGGATGCCCCCCTGCTGCGGGGGGCTGGGCTGGCTCCGGGGGGGCTCCCCGCCGGCCCCGGGCCGGGGTCTCACCTGTGCTCTGGATGCTCAGACCTGCGGGAGAGGTGAGGGGGGATTAGGGGTGCTGGTGACCCCCCCTTGGCGAGCCCCCCGTGCGGGGGTCCCGGCTCACCGCTGGCGGGGGTCCCCACGCGCTCGTAGTGGTAGGGGTTGACACAAACGCTGTCGCACTTGAGGTCGAAGGCGAACTGGCAGAATTTGACGGGTTTCAGCTCGTTCTTGTGCAGGTCGGGCCAGCGCCAGAGCCGGGCGTAGATGACGTGGGGGAACCCCTTCCTGCCGGCCACCTGCGCCGGGGGGGGACACAAGGGGGGAATGAGGGGCTGTGTCCCCTCCCCAGGGTGACAACACCGGGATCCCCCCGGGGTGACAACACCGGGATCCCCATCAGGGTGACAACACCGGGATCCCCCCATGGTGACAACAACGGGGTCCTCCTCAGGGTGACAACACCGCGATCCCCCCCATGGTGACAACACTGGGATCCCCATCAGGGTGACAACACGGTGATCCCCCCACATGGTGACAACACTGGGATCCCCTCCCAAGCCCCCACACCGGGATTCCCCCC